AGGCTGCGGGCCCGGCGGCAGCTGGACAGCGAACCCCGCCGGGGAGGGGAGGTGCTGTCCCCTTAGTGCCAGGAGCGGGGCTGGCAGTGAGGCCGGCTTTAAGGTTCTTCTGTAATAATGAAACTGGTCACAGCAGTATGAAGGAAAAGAGGACAAGAAGCAGATCTGTACATTACTGTCATGTGTTCTAAAGATAGGAACTGGAGTCCTTGAGCAACAGAATTGAGGGCTTCTGTGGGTGTTACACACAAAGCAGTTATCAAGTACCTTCTAATTGTAGTATGTAAACTTGCAGCAGCAAGTAATTACAGTATTTTGTGTTACGTAGATGTCTGCTTTGCCAAGTTCTGTGTGCTCATGCAGTGCTTCTTTGCATGTGTGCACTGAGAAAGTGCTGTCATTTTAGGTTTTGTAATTCCACGAAGGATGCAGAAGGGTGATCTGAGTTTTCAGTAGGCTTGTCCTCAACTGGTTTGTGAAGCAACACTGTTGTCTGAATTTCTAGAATGGCTTCTTTGCATTAGCTTTATTATTAGTGACCCATACGATTAGAGAAAGGCTAACATGTTCTAGCATGTACAAATTCTGTGATTAAAAAAAAACGTGGAATGAAGTGTGTTTATTTTTCTGAGCTAAGTGTTTCCAAACAGAGTGGCAGCATTTTAAATAATACTCGCTAATATTTTTAACAGCAAAAGCAGGCACAATTGTGAAATCCTTCCATTTAGTGATCTCTTCCACCACCATCCTCTGTGCCCTTTTGCCTGAGAAGACAAAGCAGATAAGGGTTTTTATACTAAAAGTTATCATTGAGGCTTCATGACCTGTATTCATTATTGAATTAATAGTTCTTTACCATGTGTTCCTCTGTGACCAAGTTGCAGTAGGTAATCTGGTTGGCATGGACTTATGCTAACTGTGATACTTGGATTGGGGAAAAAAACTTCTTGAGGTGAAGTTTGTTTCAATAAGTGACACACGGTCCTGTGCACTAGACTGAGCAGTTCTGAAGGTAAATGTGACTCGTAGTTACTCACAGACCGCTTCAGAAAACTGAGTTTTTTGCAGAAGCAGAGTGATTTTGACTTTTGACATCCCTAAACTTCACCAACGTCAATGGGGTGTTTACTACTTAGGCATCTAAGTTCAGGTATTTGTGTTTCAGAACTGTGTTTGGATTTACCTCTAAAATATTGAGGGGATTAAAGTTAGTACATCTGTTAAACACCAAAATACTTGCATTAACATTATATAATAGTTAAGTTTAGGATAAATATATTATCAGGATGTTTTCTGAAAGTAAAATAGGTAGATAATAAGGACTTTGAGCCCTAAAGTGGTTTTGTATCTTTGAGATTTTGTTGTATACATTTAGCCTGCAGTATAGATATTCCTGTAGTGATAATTGATGTAAGAAGCCATTAATCTTGTCTTCTTGATCTTACGGCTGAAATAATATAGGCATGTATTTTCTGTAGAAACTCTTACTGTTTCCAAAAAACAAACAAGTGGCAACTGGCTGACAGGAAGGACCATGTGCCTCTTAAAAAGAGGCTGAAACAACAGCCTGAGGGAAGACATTAAAGGTATGTCTACACAGTTGTGACTGAGTGCAAAGTTATGAATTCATCCCTGGCATGCCTGGCAAGTTGCAGATATGACATACATTTTAGATATGTTAACTGCCAGTTAATCCGTACTGTTAAAGACTTTTAAAGTATTTGACATAGAAGGTAGAAATTAACTTCAAAAGTGGTAGTAGGTTCTTAATTACTATTTTTTTTTCTTTCACCTGTGAGTGACTATCCTGGTCTAGTGTGAGGTGTCCCTGCCCATGCAGGGGGGTTGGATCTACATGATCTGTAAGGTCCCTTCCAACCCAAACCATTCTGTGATTCTGTGTGAACATTTCTAATCCATTTCAAGGCCAGGTCAAATTTTGTCACTAAAGCCATGATGTGAGGTGATACATGCATACTTGGGCATAAAATTGAAAGCAAAGCTGCTTAATGATAGTTGAAAAGATGGTGTGCAAAACCAGACTGAAATTGTATCTGTTATATGTGTTGGTCCCAGTTTCTTCTCTGTACTGCAGTGTGGGGTTTTTGTTAACACAATAATTTTGCATCTTTCTTAATGCAGTTTATTTTGGTCCTTGGCCAGAATAGAAGCGCATACTCTTGTGTTTGTGTATCCCCCTTTTCCTGAGTTTAAACTCAGTGATATTTCACCTGCAGGATAGGTGGCATCACAGTGGAATTATCTTCCTAGCTTCAGAACCACTTGAAGGCATCAACTTCCTCAAGATGCTGAGTAAAGTTCATCAGATTTAATGACTTACTGTTGCTTTGAGGGTGTAAAACATAGCTTGTGAAGTACTGAAGTGTTTTCACAGGATGGGAGGTTGGTTTGCAAGTTATGTATATGTCATTTCATCCTCAAGAATTCAGTGGGATTTAACTGTAGAGACCTCTTAAGTTTTGGTGGCCTGTACTATTTTCTACTCTCACATTTAACAGAAAGACTTCAGAAAGTGCTTCAGTGAATAAGCAAGGATGTAGCAGTAAGGTAAAAGCAGACAACAATGTGTGCATTATGAGAAAGGAAATGGTTTGGGTATGAAATCAGATTTTTTAAAAAACAACCTGAAAATTTGAGGTACTTCCATCTCCAAAGGGTGTCAGAGGGTGAAAGAAAATGGCTTGCTTTGAAAAACTGTTTTTTTCTGATTAAGAAAAGGTATTAACAGCAGTGGTGAAAAATGTAGGTTATCAACCAAAGTCTGGAATCTAAACTTAGGTGAATCAGAACATACTTTTAACAGCTCAGGTGACTGTCACTGTCACTGTGTCCTAAAGTCCCATTTTTCCCTACCTTGCCTTGGGATACTTCTAGGAATGTAAACTACTCAGGTAAGACTTGTTGGACTTTCATTGAAAACAAGTTGATGTTTTACTGTCTTCTGGTACGCAGAATGGTCAGACTGCTTGATGAGTGCGTCCCAGTGGTTCTGCATGAGGCATTACAGAGCTTGTCCCAGCATCTTCTGTTATGGAATTCCCATGTTCCTCATGTCATAACAACAAAGTGGTCTGTCATTTGCTCCATGGTGTACCTTCTGCAGAGAGGGCTTCAGGGAACAAGGGAAAAGGATTTGTCTTAGCCAGGTGGTCAGATAGATGTGTCTGTGTCTGACTTAAGACCTGGAGGATAGCCCCCTCTGAGTTGATTGATTGTAAGGTAGTTTTGGGCTCTGATTAACAGCACCTGTTTATTTAAACCCACATGCGTGTAAGGGATTCAAAATATTAATCTCAGTCTTCTGATTCATAAAAATCTTAGCTGCAAACAGAGTTTAGTTTTAGTACCATGATGCTTGTGATGACATACTTTCATATTTTTGGAAAAGAATAATATCTATTTCTGGTTTTATTTGATTTAGCAGTAGAATCTTGGGCTCTTTATACAAAACAGCCATATTTTTAAGATTTTCCTGTGACGTTTACCAGCACTGCTTTTTATCCTGAAGTGATGGGTAGAACTTCATGGATATGTTTGTAAGTCCTACTGAAGGGCTAATGTCCCAAAACTTACGCCTTTTGATTTAACATGGGAAGTGATGTCTGTGAGACTGTATTAGTGCCATAAACTTGGACATAGAATGTAAAATTAAAGAAAATTATACTAAGCAAGATTTCTTTAAAATTGACATACTTACTTAAAAAAAACAAAACCAACAAAGTTCATCATATTTTAGCCTATTTAATATCTTTAGGCAGATTACTAATACAATTATTTATCTCTTTTCTCTTTTGCTTTCTATTAAGTGCCTTGTGATATTTTCTACTCTTCTCTTTTGTGGAGGCTTATTACAAAAATTGTTACTGTTTGTGTCACTTATAGCTGTTTCTAACAAAAGCAAAATTTTTGCTTTAAGGGCTAAAAGATAACTAGTGTTTTGTATCAATTCTAGAGTCAGGTCATTAAAATATTATCCATGCAGTATATGTCAAAGAGAAATTATAAAATTGGGCCAATTATATTACACTTGAAAAAGATACATATGCTAAGTAAAAAAGGAGCAGTTGCTACATAAAAAGATGGGATGCTTATGAACATCTATGAATATAAACAGTTCCGTTAGTGGAAGTTGTGTTTCAGTGTGGTATTTGTACAGAACTTATTAATAATTAATAGTTAAACTGTGTGTGTGGAAGACTGGCCTTTTCAACTCTGTAAGTGACCTAGGATAGTACAAACATTGAAAAGAGAACAAGTTAACAGATAAAATTATGAACTCAAGATTTGCATTAAAATCAGTTTTTAGCAGAATACTTCTAGATAGAAAGGCTTGATCAGGTGCAAATAGATGTATCTCATGCTGTAAACCCCTATTTTAAATGTCAGAATTACTAGTAAGTACTAATTGGTGAATGCAAGGGATGGTCCACAGGAAGTTTACTTGCTCTGTATGAAAGTAGAACTTTGTTTTAAATTCCTGCTTTCTATTTTGTTTTACTATTCAGAGGAAAAAATATTGATTATTTTAAGTTTTATATATGCCCCCCGAAAGCTTGTTCCACGCAGTCTGTATTTCCCTTCATAATTATGTTCACTTGAGGAAGTGGAACAGGTCATGCCTTACAGGAATTGCAAGTGTGAATTTTTTGCAGGGTTTGTGATCAGATTAATAAAGATTCTTGGTGTGCCTGAATATTAATAATAGTATTTTTTTTCTAGATTCATGCACATATCATCCAGGTGTGCCAGTCTTTCATGATGCTCTCAAAGTAAGTATGCATCTAGCTTTCTCAGTTTTACCTTTTTTTCCATATATGTAAAACAGGATCCTTGTTTGCTTGTTTTCCTTTTTAATTGCAGATCTTTCAGTTGTAGAAACTGATGTCCAGGCTATCAAGTTTGAGCAACCAATTAAATTTAGGAAAGTACACTACCCAAACCTGAAAAAGAAATTAAAACTGTATTAACATGGTGTGAAGGTCATGCAAATCTTTATGACACATTTCCTATTGATTGACTTGAAGTGTCTCAGCAGTTTAATTAGGTCCTCTGAATAGGTCTTTGGAGACATTGAGAGGTGTCATAGTCTCAGTTCATTAACCTGCCTGAAGTTGAACCACCTGCTTGTGGCTAGTGAACTAATGTGTATGTGACATTTGTCTACTGTAAAAAATAACTGTGTTCTGTTAATCAGCTAAATGAGAATATTGGTAAAGTTGGGACTGGTTGCCCATACCCCTGATGCAGCTGTCCAGGATTCTTGGCCTACATCTTCCCTAGTGAATGAAATATTCCTGTGACTGGTCTCCAGTACTTAGGCCAACTCTGTAGCCCATATCTATTATATTAAACTGTTTTACTACTTCAAGATCTACTGGATTAATCCAAAGTGCCTACAGGGAATAATTGCAGACACAACTGTCAAAACAGTATGGAAAATTATTCTAACAATTTAACTGTGTATGCTCAGAAATGTGGTGTCCAGAAATGAAGCCTGGCACTGTTTATTGTTTTAATACAGACGTAGCCTAAGTGACCTTTCTTAGGATACCAAGCAGCTATTTAACCAAGCTTTTGGGCAAGCATTTTTTTCTTGCTCTTCAGGAACTGCTGCTTCTGGCAGTGCATCTTATCCCTGTCCTGTAATGTGGTGTCTTCTGGGCTTGTGGAAGCTTCTGCCCGTGTGCTGGGTAGTGTGTTTCTGTGAGCTGTTGCTGATATTGCAGCATGTGACTCTGGAATCAGGCATCGTGTGCCACTGGCAAATTTGGACACATGCTGTTAGAGCAAATAAAATACAGTGACTTAGACCATGCAGTTTGGATTGTACAAAATTATACTTGTATTCGTAACACAGTACATAAAATTCTACCTCATTATAAAGACAAATTATGTGGTTACCTTGAAAGCTCATTTTTACTCCCTTTTTCTCTTATATACTCACCATTTTTAAAACAAATACTACTTTTCCCCCTCACCCGATAATCTCTCTTGGCCTATTAAAAATTTCTCATAATTTTGTATGGGCAGTTTTCTTCTTGCTATGTATTCCAGAGAATCTAACTGAGCAAGATGAACCTTTTATTTCCTCAACTGTGGAAAAAGTTAATATTTTGAGGATATTTTAGAACCACCTACCTGAAACCCATTGTGTTACACTGCTTAAGCTCTCAAAGCAGCAGTGCATCTGTTAGTCAACCTGTTGCCTGCAATAAGGTTCTTCAGGTTGATACACTATTGGCAATGGCCAAATAATTTTCTCTAAAATTGGATTTCTAGTTTATATCATAAAAAATTGTCTTGACTGATGTAGTTGGATAGATGGCTGTGCAATGCAGATATCCACCTTTGTGGTGGGAAATAAGCAGCTGAAAGACTTGTCTAGGGCTCAAGGAAAGTGCTCATCATTTCAGGAAGTGGCCTGTACATTATGCCTCAGATGAGCCTTGTCTCAGGTATAGTATTTGTTTGTTTTGCTTACTTGTTATTTTACGAGATAAGGTAACATCTCTCTTTTCTGTTGTACAGAGTTGGCACCTAACTTGCCATGGAAATACTGCCTTATGTTTACAGAACAGTAAGGCAGTATGAGTGAACTAGTAATGGCAGCTGCAACAGGTTTTCTGGCTTAAAAGCCAGAATGTGCATAATGTGAATGTTGTCCAAAGATGGGAAGAAAATAATCTCTAATCATCATGTGGTGCATCTGGTAATGGAATGTAGTTAGTCTTTTGCTTTTCATAAGCTGTTGCCAAGTAAAAGGTAGTCATGCTTGTTTTGTTTTTGTTCCAAAATGTTTATAGGGTTGGTCCTGTTGCAAGAGAAGAACAACAGATTTTTCTGACTTCTTAAGCATTGCGGTATGTACTCATGGTTATTTATACTTGTCAAATGCCAGTGATAAATATTAAATGGTTCATGTGCTCACATGTTTAAAATGTTCATACTTTGTTAAAACTGTCCTAAATCTTGCATGAACTGTTTTTCTTCACATATTGTTGACTTCGAGCCTCCTTGTCAAGCTTTAATGGATGGTCAATGTGTTTTGCTACTTTGCTTGATTATGGAAAGTATGCATTTTTCTTTAACATACATCCAAATGAAGATATTTTCCACTTTGGGTGTAGGATTTTCTTTGCAGTCAGTGTTTAAAGTGGAGTAAAAAGATGAGCTGAAAAAAGAAATCAAGAAAACTCCTTGCAGTTTTTTAGTTTTTAATTGTGCAGAAAAATTACACTGCATATATATATATACACACATATGTTTTCCATAATAGGGCTGTACAAAGGGTCTCCATAACAGTGAGAAACCTCCTGAGCCTGTTAAACCAGAAGTCAAAACTACCTCTGAACGAAAGGAGCTAGCTGAACTGAAGCCCAGGTTTCAAGAACACATAATTCAGGCACCAAAACCATTGGAAACAATTAAAAGGCCAAGGTACTGTATATGGAACTGAGTTTTGCCAGATTTGTGGTCAGCCAAGTTGAAGTTCACTTAGTTACTCAGCATTACACATCTTATATAGTGTAAAAAATTCCTAAATTACCTTTAAAATAACTTGTCTTTCATAGTAGCAGTGATGATGCTATCTTAATTTTCAAAATGAGATAAAAGAATTCTGGTTAGAAGAAGGTAGTACTAGATCTCTCAGCATTTAACTTCATAGGAAACAAAAATTGCAGTCTGAAGTGTTGTAACTTAGAATGCCACTGGCAGTTGTGTTTAATGTTTTAGAAAGACATACAATTTTAGGGTGCTTGTATTTAGATTACTTAATCTCCCTGATTTATTTTTATTGTTGTAATTTAGGATTTGCTATTGAAATCTAAGATAGCTTTCTGAATTTCTAGTCTGTTTTCCCAATAAACAGTAAGAATTGGCCAGTCTGGTTTGTTCATTATTGGAAGAGAGGTTGGAATCTTGTCCTATAGCAAGATTAAAATTTACTACTTTGTTGTCTTTTGTAAAATACTGTTCATGAAGCTGACGTGAATACATGGATATTTTTTTAGCCCAGATGAGCCAATGACAAATTTGCAGCTGAAGGTATCAGCTTCTTTGAAGCAAGCACTAGATAAACTGAAGCTGTCATCAGAAAATGAAGAGAAAAAAGGTAAGGATATAATGAGGTTATGTAGGTACATGATGCTAATTGTCACGCAAATAAATGAAACGCGCTTTTTTTTCCTTGCTTCTGAAGTCATCATTTCATGTCATTATGTTCTTAATAATCTGGGAAATACCTTCCAGTATAGTTTAGATGTGAACAATGTGGAGACTTGGGTGTTAGGAGCGAATGTTGCCATTAAAATATTTGAGCTGCTTGTTTTGTCAGATTTCCTGATTGGAATGGACATAATGGGAACATCCATCTCTGACTAAAAGAGTTCCCAAGACATGAACTTTACTCCCATGTTATTGCAAGTACTATGTCGTCTAAAGCCTTTCATAAACTGGTGAAATTCCTCTGAAGACTAGGTGATTCTCCCTTGACTGTTTTTCCTCTTTTTTAGTTCCCACAGTTTATTTGGAATTTGGTTCCAGATCTGCACTTCTCCTTAAGAAGCACTTTTTAATTTCAACCTACATTTTTAGCTACTTAATAACCTTTTGTTCTTGTGCCAAAATGTCGTTTAGCTCTTCTTTCTGCTTGGTATCCAAATTCTTTCCCTGTGTGTATTTGTAGACATTGTTCGGAGCCTTTTACTTTCTTTGTTTTACAAAACCAAACAAGATGACTGATTATTCTCTTTGCCTATGCTTGTAATAATCCTCTTTATCGTGTTGTGGGGGTTTTTTTGCCCCACTTAAAACATTGTAAAGGTATAGAACATAGAATCTGATCCATTGGCAATACAGCTTTTGGAATGTTTGCATAATTTCTGTTTCTTTGTACCTTTCTAGAAAACTTCAGTGCCAGGCAGAAAACAGCTTGAGAAGTGGTTTTTTTTTTTCTGATCTAATTCTTAGCTTTCTTTAATTCTTAATAAAAGCAAAATATTTAGTACATTATATCTGGAACAGGTTGCTCACGGAAGTTGTGGAAACCCCCTCCCTGAAGCTGTTCAAGGCCAGGATGGATGGGGCTCTGAGCAACCTGGTCTAGTGGAAGGTGCCCATATAGGGGGGTTGGAACTAGATGATATTTAAGATTCCTTCCAACTCAAACCATTTTATGATTTTATGATTCAGTTGCTATTTTCTGTAATATTATTCTGTTTACAGAAGATGACAGTGATGAAATCAAGATTGGGACAGCATGTAAAAATGCAGGCTGTTCAAAAGTAAGTGGTTCAGTTCCATTCTTAAACCCACCTGCTAAAACTATTAAGCATGAAGGTTTTGCCTTCTTGCTTTTCTTGTGTGGTTTTGTGTGTGCTACAAAGTTACTTGGAAATGGCACAGATTCAATCATGCTTAACAAATGCACATTTGATAACACACTTTACTATGGACAAATGTGGACTGTTTTTTACTATGGATGCAGTAAGTCTAAGTTTACTTTTATTTAAGCTTTTCCAGAAGTTGAAATTAGTAAGCTTGCCAGACCCATAATACTGACATGTTTCAACTTAAAATGTTAAATATAATGTTCCTGAGACATGGCTTACTGATAACACTTGAATTGCTCTTGATGATCTGGATATAGGTCAGAAGCTTCTGCAGATGTTACCAGTTAATGCTTCCTGCCAGAGTCTGCAAGAAAATGTTCTAACACTTCTATCACTTCTAGTCTTCATATTACATGGTCATTTAAACTGCAGGTTTTTTTCACTGACACCTTTGCTTTGTACAGAATAGGACAGAAGAATTTAAATAGGTATTTCAGTGGACATTTGACATATTTTGCATTTTCTACTGAAACTGCTGTTTATTTATAGCAGTGTCTTGTTAGTGTTAAGAAGAACTGATACGATATTCAGTGGTAGAGTTGTGTATTGTTTAATTTGCTTCCTTTCGAGAATCCATATGTTTTATGAAGGATAAATTTAATTTGTTTTCCAGTTAAGTACTTGTTTTCTCTGAGTATTCAGAGTATTTTTAAAGATAGATATCTCTGAGGATCTAAAGTGACCTTCAATGAGCATAGATGATGTCATCATTGATGTACTGCATTGAACTAATGCAAAGTATAGCTTGTTAGAAAGAGGGCAAGGGAACCTTTTGTGAATGAAGGTTGAATGATTGTTTTGAAAAGCCAGGGCAAGGCATTATATTTAGCTTTGTGGTACCTTGTTCAATGTTTCTGTTGTGGGTTGTTTTGTTTTGCTCTTCCCTTTGGTCCACATCCTGTGACATTAATCCATTTAAAATGTTTTGTTTTACTAGACATACGAAGGACCACACAGCACAGAAGAAGTATGTATATACCATTCTGGTGTACCTATATTCCATGAAGGGTTAGTATTCAGTTAACTTTATTTTTTTTTTAATTAGTCTATTATGAATTCCTGCTTTCTTTGTAGATGTTGCCATGTTTTCATTCTGTTTTTCTTGTGGAGTAAAAAATGATAAAGCTTGAAGAGGGTATATTAAATTAACAGTAATAAAGGAAAAATCTTAAGTCCTCACAGTAGTGTCCTAAATATTGTTTTTTAATACTTTGTGAACTTTCAAGGATGAAGTATTGGAGCTGTTGTAAAAGAAAAACATCTGACTTCAATACATTTTTAGCTCAAGAAGGCTGCACAACAGGAACACACGTATGGACTAAAAAGGATGCAGTAAGTAGCATGAACATTGCATTCTATAGCTGACCACTCTGTGTTGAATACTGAAAAGTAGGTAGTAGCTTGATTGAGTTACTGCTGTAGTCAAGCTGATACAGATACAGACCTCGGAAATAACACTGGATAGTGTGACTATCCATGATGCAGAGAAATGCAGTTTGATGTAATCTGTGGTAGAAGTATGTAGTAGAGTACAATCTTTCTTCCTACTGGTACATATAATATCACTATTTCACAGAAAAAAGTTTTTTGCTTCTTACATAGTAATGATACATAACACTTCAAGAGCATCAGCTGATCATGTTAGATGCTGATGAACACAAAATTCTTGTTATTAACATTGTCTATTGCTGAGGCAGAATTGGTTCGACACTGCAAACATCAGTAACATCTAACAGAAGACCGGTACTTGAAGTATTTAGTAAAAAAGATGTAAGCAGAGTCTTGGAATCTCCTGTGAAGATGAAATTTAGTCCTTTATTAGCTATTCTTATTGGCTATTAAAATAGTCCTGGGCCTTTGTCCTGATTAACCTTGTAACAAAACTCCTGAATGCAATTTTAAGTCTCTCTTTTGTAATTTTATATAGGGTAAGAAAGTAGTTCCATGCAGGCATGATTGGCACCAGACTGGCGGAGAAGTTACTATTTCTGTATATGCTAAAAACTCTGTTCCTGACCTGAGCTACGTAGAAGCAAATAGCACAATGGTGAGTATCAACCTTAAAATATAAATATATTTTTTCATTTAACTGCACCTTGAAGTTAGGAACATCTGGCTTCTCCTTTATTTACAAGGCAGAGGTAGCATGAGAATCTTTTTTGAGTAATGTCTCTTTTTTGGCATTTGTGTTTGTTCAAGTATGTATAGAATTTTTTTCTGCTTCTGTTTGGAAATCTGTACTTGAATGTGGTTTGTCGGGTTTTTTTTGAAGCCACAATATATTATATATTTTTAAAAAACTTAATTTGACTTCTGTAATTAAAAAACCTGAGTGTGATGGATTTGCAGCACTGTATGTGTAAATAATTATAGATTCATAATGTTATTTGGCTTAATGTAATTTAATATCAGTCTTACTGTGCAGTTTCATAGCTACTAATAGTACACAAGTGTTAAAGTGCTTCACTGATTTCTTAATCACATTTGGGCAAAAATATGCAGCTTCCCATATGTATATGTGGCCACTATTGATTTTGATATTATATCAGAATCTATTAGAAGATGTTTTCACTTCCATGTCTGAGGGACAATTTGATCACTTTGCTCATTATAAGATCTGAGTCCTTATGTGATATATTTTGCTTAAATACTCTTGAGATGTCAAATGTTTTATTAGCCTGACCAAATATTCTGTTGTTTTTCCTGTTAAGGTAAATATCCATATTGTATTTGAAGGAGAAAAGGAATTTCATCGCAGTGTGAAACTATGGGGAGTAAGTATAATTTTTCTATTTTAAAAAAACCTCAAAAATCGAAGCACAAACCCTCAGCTTTGTCTCTTTGAAAACAGTTTGGTTTTCCTCATTATTCTGCTTATTGGAAGAAATTTAGTTGCATGTCATTCAGCAGTCATGTCTAAATCTGAATCTAATGCCCAGAGTGGTGATCTGTGACATCCTAGTAGATGCTTTGAGCACAAGGTGACCTCCTGAGGTCCCTTCTGTCCTGATTTATTCTGGATCCCAGCACCATGATAGTGGTGCAGTAAACCCTTACACACTATGTAATTGCATGTTTATGTACATGTTAGACTGGAATATGTAGAATCATAGAATCATAGAATTTTTAAGGTTGGAAGGGACCTAAAAATTCATCAAGTTCCAACCCCCCTGCTACGATCAGGGACCCTTACCACTAGACCAGGTTGCACAAAACCTCATCCAACCTGGCTCTAAAAACCTCCAGGGAGGGGGCAGCCACAACATCCTTGGGCAACCTATTCTAGTTCCTCACCACCCTCATGGTGAAGAATTTCTTCCTAATATCTAACCCATATGCACAGGCAGATGGGCACAACTTGGGAATGGGAGAGGGTTGACTTTTCCAGGTAACAGAGGGAACTTCATCTATCTGATCATCTGCTGAAGTTCAGTGATAAGGTTTTCTTCCTAACTTAATTCTCAAATACCTAACAGTCTGTTTCTTAAACTGAAGTGTAAAGTATGTTTTCTGTTCTAGGTAATCGATGTGAAGAGGAGTTATGTGAACATGACAGCTACAAAGATTGAGCTTACTATGAGAAAAGCAGAGCCCCTATTATGGGCAAGTCTTGAATTACCAGTATCCAACACACAACAAAAACAAGAGAATTCAGATCAACAATGATTTCAAGAGACAAGTTATTTCCCATTATGAAATGGTGACTTGCTACTGTAATCAAGTATTTAACTTTTATATAGGTTTTTTTTTGTTTTTTTTTAATCCTGGGTCCCATGTTCCATTTCTAGAAAGAGATTTGACACACAGTGAATGGGGGTGTAAACCTGGAGGGTGATAGCTATTTCTGCTCTTGCTCCCACCAGTGTATTTATTCTAGTTGGAGAGTCTCCATGGGGATTTAGAGTAAAAGAGCTATTTCCCTTTGCTTTCAACCTTACCTACCATGCACCAACTGCCCAAATAGATGTGTTTTCAGTCCACTGTGTGTGTTAATTTTTCAGCTGTTCCGTTTAGACTTGATCTACTGGGTAGCACGTTAGGTTCAGCACTGCTCATTATGAAGCATGTGAAATACAGATACAAAAATCTGAGTTTATGAAGTGTTTATCATGCAACTCTACATCTAGAATAAAAAGGTACATAAATGTGACAGAAGACTTGTAAACTTGAATTTTTGTCTTCTGAAACCCAGGTTTGTTTCAGTACCTGTTGGCTCTGAAGGGATGGAATAAGTGGTATTTTGCTAAGGATATCAGTACTTGCTGACTATTTTGCTATCTTTCATGTATAAAAGCAAGAGATCATATTAAAATAAAAACAAAGTTAGCAAGAAAGAATTTTATTATTTTTTTTACTCCTGTACCTTTATTATTTGAATTGTTGAATGTAAAACTAAATGGACAATGAAATGGCTGAATAACACAACTGTGGAGAATGTACAGACTATTGTAAAATTACCAAGGTGCTCTATCTATTTGGCAGTCTTTAGAATATATTTTCATTCCTGTTCTACAACATTCAAAATGATATATCTTTTTTCCAAGAGGGTGGATATGTGTAGTAGGAGAAGCCAGAACACACTGTTAAGTGTCTCAGGAAAATTATTTCCATGTAGATATGCATAGCTCTTGTTTCTGAAGATGGAAATCTAAATACTAAATTTATCTACAGGACAAATTTTAGGAGAAACAAATGGAAAGCTTTAAAATGTCTGTCTCAAATTATAATTGTACCTCTGAATTAAAATATTTTTTAAATATTATTTATTTTGAGCAGTGTAAGCAAAACACTGTAATTAGAAATTAAGACATTATTTTTGTTCGGTTCTTCATCATTAAATATTTGTGGCTCAAAACAGGATAGCTTTAAAGATGAGACTTTTATCCAAGCAGCAACTCATGCAGTAATCTTGCCTTCTCTTTCTGCTTGAAATATTTTCTTAGTTTTGGCTTGCAGCTGAAAGAGAAGTGGTGTTTTGGTATGCAAGTCATGCAAAATGTACACCATTATGTATTGTGCCAAGACTTCTCTATGTATACAGGCAGTCCTGTGGACTGTTGAAATGTGAGGATGCTCATCTGCTTACCTTGACAGGCCTGGAATAAGGCCAAGAGAAACACAGGAAAAACATTCTCAAGTTAAATACGGTTTTCAACTAATTTTACTGTTTTCCAACGGGTGTAATTAGACTTGAGCTCAGAGTTCTGTCTCTAGCTGTACTTGAAATCCCATTTCATGCTTAAAAGTAGTAGGGAATACATTACCAAAGAAACTGTTCCCAAACACAAGTAAGTTATGGTGCTTCTTTACCTTTATTTCAGGCTCCTGTTTCCTCACGTAGGAGTGTGGTTGCTTATTCCCTTGAGCCTCTATTAAAACTTCTAGCTCTAAATTCTGCCTAGAAGGTTCTATCAACCTCTCGTTGTACTTTCTTTTTCTTGTTCTAATAAGTTTGAAAATGTCAAGTGCTGTGAAGTGATAGGGTACAAGCTTACAAAATTGTATGCCTGCAAATGGTCCTCTAAAAATTGTACAGATGTTCTCTGATGTTTTCTGAACCAACAGGAAGAGCTCTTATTACTATAATACTGAGAAAAATCACTTCAGTGGATAAAAATTTCTGGATTTCTGTACCTAGGATCGTACCATCCGTGGGGTTGTATGCAGAGCTCTGAACTTGGGCCACTAAATGAGTAGTGTTTAAATGGCAGGAGAAAGTTCTGATTTAACAAAGTTCAAACATGTGTCTATCCATATGGATATATAAATATCCTAAATATATTAATTCCCACATTTTTAATACATTTTCAATTTAATTGCGTCCTCCCATGCAATTCGTTTACATCATGTAAAATCCATTTGAAATAACTGCAAGGGAAATGGAATTTTTGAGAAATCAGAATTTCTATTTTTAAGCAAGTTGTGTGCTCCCTTAGTAAACCAAAGGCTAAATGGGGAGAAATGTGGGTGAATGGATCTTCTGCTGCTAGTGCTGCAGGCTTTTGGACCCCATAACTATTTGTTAAACTCTTCCAAACTGCATTTGGCTGGTAGGTGAATCAACTTGGTCATAGTGGAAGAAAGCTCCTGTAAACATTGTGTTCAGTTTTGATTTTGTTTGTTGTTGTTTTTTTCATGCCTCCTACTCTTCCTGTTGTTGATACTACACTTCAGGAGTTCCACAATGACTCCCCAGCAGTGACAATAAAACCACTTTTAAAATGTATCTATTTAAAAAAGCAAGCAAGGAAACAAAACAAAACAAAACAAACAAACCAGCTGTGATCAGGCAAGAAGGTGTAGTTTTTACCAATAACGTAATTTTATGTGGCCTGTGATTTTCAAAATGGCCTGCTTTTCAAAATTAAAGGATACACTTTCAGATGGTACAGACTGCCACATGGCTCTTGTTGAACTGCATTAATTCTCAGCAGCCTATCCGTATGTCTGCATCCATCACCAAGCTGCAAAAGCTGTAGCAGTTACTCAGTCTGAGTGGTTTCAGCAGTTTCACCCTGGTGTTGGATGAAATGCCTTGACATGCATAGTGGTAGCTGACACTTCAGTGGCATTTGGGGTGTTTGTAGTAACTTCTATTAGTAAATGTGGAGAGAAGGTGAACCCAACTGTAGTGAACCAAGCCCATCGCAGTACTTGTCAAAAGCCAGATTTGAAACCTAAGTGATTTTTGATTACTTAGACTTTTACCTGCTAATACTAGTTAAAGTAATAAAGTGCAAGCAAGTATTTCTGGAATTCTTGCAGTTAAACTTACACTTAGTTTTCATGTTTTCAGAACTCATGTAACTTGCTACACTCTAGCTATATTTTTATAATGAATGATTCTTTTAAAGCTGAAGTGTGTTTCAGAGTGGGTTTATGTTACATGTCTGAACTGTCTTGACAAGGTGTATATAAAGCTTGTTTTTCACAGTCCCTTCTTAATATGTATGGGTATACAAATTTGTGACAGGAATCTAACCTTATCCTTCATGTCCCTTTTCCTACCTGGTGTTACATGTTGTATCTCTAACGAGGAGCTGGAATGTATTTTTAATGTTAATAATTCTGTTAAGCACTGGACTGTTCAGCTACTCTGACTTTTACGTTTGACATGGCACTGACAGAACCTGACTAAAAAAAAATAATCTGTTGAATGATATTCTGGAACATGTACATTATCAAGTCACCATTTCAGTAGTTTAGGGATTAGTTTTACTAGGAATTTTGCCTTGAAAAAAATTCTACTTATTCTATGTAATGGTGCATTTTTTGCTTGCGTTCTTTACACATGGCATGAGTATTGGTTAAAAACTGTACCTGTTAATCATTAATCTTTCTCTATTGCTACTATGTTTTTTTTTAAATCTCTGTTCAGGAATGAGATCCTTTTTAATGGGTTATGTGTCTGGAACACTGTTTTAAGGTGGTAATACTTTGGCCAATATAAGTCATGAATTGCAGTTGAGCAGGGAGATTGTCTTCTTGCATGGTTGTTTGATTCTGCACATGCATAAAACTTATATACAAAAATTAATCTCCTGTCTTCATGCTCTAGTTTTTTTCTAAATGTATTCAATAAAATTCTTATTACCTGCTGGTTGCATTTGGGTTTTTTTTTAACTTCTTTTGTTATGGGAGAGAACTTTTCTTTGGATTTGCAAGATGGTTGTCATCATATTAAGAGGGTATTTTCCAGACATCAGTCTATATAGGAGGGAAACCATGTGGCAAAGGGTTTCTCCCCACCCCTTCGTTGGGGTTCCTTTAACCCAAGAGCCCCATCAAGGTAGGTGAGTTCTGCAGCAAGTTGAGTAAGAGTGGCTGCTTAGATGGGGCCTGTCTCATCCACAGGAATTTTTCTGTCCTGGAATTTTGGACAATTCCCTTCCAACCTTAACCTTAACTCATTCTCTGAGTCCATGATTCTATGCTACTGTGCTCATCTAGACCCTCAGGGACTTACAGGAAAAACCTTGTATCCAAGTTATATTTTTGTATATATTAACATTAACCCAAACTTTTAAATGTTCCACCTTCATCTGTTGAAGCATTTAACATCTGGAGTGTCTACTCATGAACAAAACCTACAACAAAAGTGTTCAGAATGATTTTTGTAGCTGTGCAAACTGGAAACCTGCTGACCCTTCTGTTATATTTTTCTTTCAATCATTTATAACTTCAGTGAGATGCATGTGTTTTCCAAGAGCAGTTAACAGCTGTAAAGAAGATGAAGCTGGTAAAATGAAAGGAGAACATGAAAATGGACTTGAAAAGGAATTTTTGAGAGAGGTTTTCCCACATGTATAGAAAAATTAAATAGTAGATGGGAAACATGCTAAGGCTGAAGGTTAATACAAAGCAACAACTCCAACTGTGAATGAGCCAAAACTGTGAAACTTCAAATCACAATGCTTTATAATTTTTTTCCATTATCTCTGTAAAGGTTCACCTTGTTGCTGTGTGAGCACAGGGGCATTGTTCAGCATTTCTTGGTTCACTGTTATTTCCCCTCAATAATATTTTACTTTAGAATGTAGACAATTAAGTCTATTGCATTTATTATTGAACTATTTTATTGCCTGGACACTTTAGAGTGGCTGGGACTTGTACAACAAACAGTGGCCAAAACCTTCAATGTGATTGAGCAGCAGCTCCAAAAATGCTGAGTTCTTAAGCTAACATGTCATTATAATGAGTTTTTGCATTTCATAGTTATATTATATAATACACGTTTATCTTAAACTGTCCTATAGGAGTATCTGAGTAAATATAACTTGCCAAGTTCTTCATATTCTGTTCACAGTTTTAGTACACAACAGAGTATAATCCTGCCTGAGAGGCAAATGCTGAGTCCTGCAGTTACTGTCTGAATCCTATGTAGATATCTAGTTCTCAGACAGGTTTTCATTTATCAGACTGCAGCTGACAGTGTAA